CAACCCTAATTTGCTAGTTATGACATTTATAAAGGTAATAGACAAATGGGCGTGTATGACAAAAATAACAGTTATCTGCAAGCTAGTAGCTAGAAGCGGATAGCTGGTAACATATAGTTGGTAGTTGGAAGTTGTAACTTTTATTTGTTATATGAGTGTTTGACAAAATGTAGTAAGAAACTTTCGAAATATGTAAAATTACATAAAAAAAGAATTATATATATATATATATATATATATATATATTAAGGGCAATTCTGTAAATTGATTTCAAAAGCTTAGTGACGTTTTGTTAAACGCTACATGAAGTGGCTTTTAGATTTGTATCATTTTGTTTAAACTAAAAACTAAACGCACGTTCTGTCAAACGAAACCTTCTATTTAAACTGAAGCATTTTGTTGAAAGCTAAAAACTAGAAGCTTCCAAACACTCCCAAATGACATGTGCTAAACACACCCAATGCATGCGATTTTTTTCAAGATGGATATAAGGGCTACAAATGGTCACTTGTGAGGTACCTCATTTCTTTAGACTTATACCTTATGTGTACTATGTTCTAACCAAACAAAATCTTTAATTTCAAAATTATAATGAACAAGTATTTTACTAGAATATGTTAGTTTTATAAATCCTGAATGGAAGGCAGATCGTGAGCCAGTTTGGTAGCCTCATGTATGATCCCAAACATCATTTTTTTAACAACAATCAATAATAAGGTGACTACCAGATTTTTTTTTACAAATTTGACATTCAAAATTCAAGTGAAAACTATTCACATTTTTTCAATGCAAAAAATCTATTACAAAATTGTAACTCCTTTTACAATTTATTGGATATTTGTATATAATTAAGAGCAATACTGCAAACACATATTTCATGTGTGTTGTAATCATATTCATATTATTATCTAGACAAAACTTTATAAATGGTCCATGTATTTTTCAGAAAATTGAGATATAATTCGTAAGTTTAAAAACCTCTTAGATACTCCCTGTGGTTTCAAAACTTTTAACAAACGGTCCTTTTTGCTTACTCCGTATGCTTTTGGTCTTTAACTGTCATTTGATTAAAATAATACGAGGGCATTTACATCATTTCACTACCACATGAACCATTTATAAGGTTCTGTCTTACTTAATAAAAAAATATATTATTTAATATACAAAGGACCCCCCTACACTCTCTTTCTCTCTCATCTTCCATCTTATGTTAATCTACAATGTAAGAATACTATGCCCCTCTCCCCCTCTCTCTATCTATCTATTTATCTATCTCTCTCATCTTCCATCTGAAGTCAATCTACTATGCTTGAAATGGCAGCCTTACATGTTTCTTTCTCATATATTTTAGACCTCTTAACAGTTACCATCATACTCATTCCTCAACTGCTACCGATGACCATATCATCTGTTAGCTTGCACCATGACACCACCACCACCATTCTTCCAGCTCTGCACCAATTGATGAAGGTGACTGGAATGAAGAGAAAGCATCTCCATCTCTATAGATTGTTCTCATCGATATTTTTCGGTTTGATTTAGGTTCAGGTTAAATCATCTGTATCTTTATAGATTTTTTAGGTATTAAAGCAAGTCATATACATATCTGCACATGTTAACTTGAAGGCTTCTGGATCAATTACAATTCCTCAGATTTCAGTTTTGATTACATCATGAAGGTCACCATAGTTAATGCCTTCCGTCACCGCCATTAATTTAGAGATTTTTAGGCATGCTTCTGGTTCGATTTAAAGCAAAATGATTGACCACCATCCTTGAGAGAGACGATGGTGCTAGGATCTAAACGACATGTTTTGTCGCAATTCCTTATCCCCTTTCCCCTACTTCTATAAAACTTTGAAGCTGATTTCATCTTTTTCCCAGTCTACGTTTCCTGCAGTCTCAACACCGTTAATGGCTTCCTGTCATCGACCACACAAGGAGCAAGTGTGTATCTATTTTGTTGTAAGCTTTTGAGTCGATAAATAACTAAAAGGAACTCCTCAAAATTTTTTCTTAATGACTGGCTTATTCTTCTTTACGGTTTCCTGGAACTTGAAGGAGCTTTGGTACCAGACTAAAAGAATCCATTTACATTCCTACTAATATTATACCAAATTCCTAAATCAAAAATCCTACAAAAACCAGTAAGAACACAAAGAAAGAATATTTGGCGATGGATGAGTAACAAAATGTTGCTTGAAAACTATGAATTACTAGGGTTTGTTGATTATTAGCTTTGTTCTTGAGCTAAGAATAGGATCAAATTAATCACGTAGTGTAGTGTGATGATGTAAAACACAAGTGGGGAATGAATGAGGTATGACATGACTAATAGATGATGTCGAGAGAGAGAGAGAGAGACCCTTTATATGTTAAATATATAACATGCCAAAATCAGAGTAAAATTTTATTTTTCAAAAACAACCCAATGACCATAACTGTTTACAAAACATTGTTTCAAAAGTGATAATCAATAATCAGAGTATCCCAAAATCCATATAACATAAAATCCGAAGGATGTGCACGATCACGCCTTCGCCTTGCCACGATCATTTGAAGTACCTGAAACAATAAACTAAATATGTAAGCCACAACTTAGTAAGTTCCCCCAAAGTACCTCCACACAAACATATAACCAAACAGATATTAGGTCCACAATCTCCAGGTTGGATTACCCATGACCCACAACCTTCCGGTTGGAATGCTCTGGCCCACAACCTTTCAGTTGGATTGCCTAATACATGTTGGGTCCACAACCTCATGGTTGGATTACCCTTGGCCCACAACCTTCCGGTTGGAATGCCCAGTTTGTTGATTGATAGCACAAAATAGTACAGTTTCAACCCCACCATACCATGTCAACATATACATAACAAATAACACATATCCACCAACAAATAATCATATAACCAATTAATAGACAAACATGCAGATCTACAGATCGCTACAACATAACAACATCATATATACTAGGACACATATCTAACAGATCACTACAACATAGCAACATCCTCTAAACTAGGATACATAACTCAGTGGGCTGGCATTAGTGCCTTCGACCAACAAGTACAATGAGAAAAAACTCACCTTTCAGCCTGAAAGGATTGCTAAACAGGACACTGCTCCAAATATCAACTATATCGGTCACCTATTCATTGGAACATGACCAAACTTAACTTATAATCAAAACACCCACAGTACCCCTAGGTCAAACTTGGTCAAATAATGGTCAAAGTCAAAAGTCAACCGAGTCAACTCAGCTGAGTACGCCTAACTTACTCAGCTTGTACGCTTAGCGTACTCGAGTCTGACGTACCTTGGGGTACGCCCAACGTACGCAGCTGCCTCCTTTCCCTTCTATTAAGAGCTTAATTCCTTAATCTATTTCCTCCAAAATCCAGATCTACTCCTCAAATGATGTCCTTAACCATAAAGTTTCCAACTTTATGGTCTTGCATGGCTATTAAGTGCTCAATACCAAAATCCCTAACTTCTTAACTCATTAAGACATCCTAGTTCATGCATGTAAGGAAACTAAGGCCCGAGATTACCTTTTTATGCTTCGAAACACTCAAAAACGTCTGAAAGGATAACTTATATAAATTAGAGTAACCCATACTCATAATACCAAGCTTATGGGACCAAAAGAACACAAATCCATGGCTAAATAATATCTAACTAAAACTTCATCAAGATCAAAGCTTTTTACCTCCAAATGGTGTCAAATGATGATATGATTTTGGATCCAAAGTGCACCACTTTTCTAAGATGGTTTCCTCTTCCTTCTTCCTCATTCAAGAATACCAAAATGCACACGCATGGTCAAGGTTGTTTCACTCTAGAGATTAGGGTTAAATAGGGTACGAAATGGGGCTGAAGGCTGATGAAAGAAAGGTTAACGGGGGCTATAAAAGTGTTTAAATAGTGCACAAACCCTAAATATTATGGTTTTGGGTCAAGACCACGTACGCCCAACGTACAAAAGAAATCTCCAAAATTAAAAAAATGCCATTAAGGACCAATTGCAAACAATTCTTAGACCAATGGCATAAATGGAATACCTAGAAATCAAGATGTTACAAAATAATATATTTTATTTTTTTTAAATAAGGCAAAACATAATAAATGGTCCATGTGGTAGTGAAATGACGTAAATACCCTCATATTATTTTAATAAAATGACATTTAAAAAAAAAAAAAAAACTGACAGAGTGAGCAAAAAGGACCGCTTGTTAAATTTTTTAAAATAACAGGGACCACTTAGGATATTTTTTTAACTTAAAGACTATATCTAAAAACAAAAGAACCATTTATAAAATTTTGTCTATTATCTATATGAACACTAATGATTATTATACATATGGTTATTGACATAAACTATAACAAATTATTAACATTTTTAAGAAAATACTTTTGATCTAGAAATATCATAAAAGGAGTATTGAGCTATTTATTTTATTTATAAAATACTACAAAAAGTTATTAAACTATATTATTTAATAATATTTTATAAAGCAGATACATAGATAATCACAGTTTTTGATAATAATTTTAAAAAATCAATAATAGTATGTTCATAAAACACATATATAAATATACAAAATTATATATGGTATCTAACATGCTATATTTTCATGAATCCAACTCAATTAATCATTTGATTATCTCTCTTTATTACTTTGAGTCACGTTTTACTAAATTTTCATACCAAACCTTTTATAATACAATATATATCTTTGAAACAAGAACGGGATATATACTTGAAAAAGAACAATTAATTATTTTCTATATTTAATCCCACATAGTATTTAACAATATATCAAAAACTATTAATTTTTAATAGTAGTATATAAATTAATGAATATAATACTATATTTTTATATTTATATTGCACAAACAAAGGCTGGCTCGAGGCTGCGCGCACCAGCAGCATATAACACTGTCATTTTTCGATTTCCGAGACGACTCCCTCTCTCTCTCTCTCTCTCTCTCTCTCTCTCGCTCTCTCTTCATCTTTCTCTCTCTTCTTTTTAGCTCTCAGACAGGAGCTGTGTGCTTCTTCTGTAAACTCTAGTGTGTGTAATTCTTCTCTCCATTTTCCCTTTGATTTTTTCTCTCTCTGCATTTGTTGTGTTGCTGATTTCTCCTGTAACAAACATGTCTAGGGTTTCTTCTTCCTCTGCTTCTTCTTCTCTCTTCTTCATTCGCCCATCCCTCTAATCCTGCAACTGTTGCCTCCTTTTCTTCTACACGTCAAGAAGATAGGGGGAGCTTCAAACACCCTTTTCTTCTTCTTTCTGTTTCTGTTTCTATTTTTTTGTTTGTAAAGTTCGAAATCGATAGGGTTTTTGTGTTTTGGAGATTTTGAAGGGGAGTTGAAATGTTGAATTAGTGAAACGTTTTGAAGATTTTCGTGGTAGATTAAAAGTGTGTACACAGAGTTCGATCGAACTGGTTAAAAAGAGACGGAAAAGACACAGGACTGTTTTTGTCTGTATATTAGTTGTAAGTTACAACTTTCCCTTCTGTGAATTTTGGGTGTGTGAACTTAAAACAAAAGCGAAGAGTACTCTCTATTTCTCTCTCTGAATTTCTGTGGGAATCTTCTGGGAAGAATCGGGGGTTGTTTTCGTCTCTTCAAATCACTTCTCTTCGTCTCTCATTTCGCAAACGAATAAACACTTGTTCATACCTCAAAACCTGAAAGAATTTGAGAAATTAAACAACCGAGATTTAGCGATTTCTGAAAATGGCGATGGTAGTTCAGCATCAACAGCATAAGGAGATCAGCAACAATACAAGCATCACCAAACACCAGTTGGATAACGGGAAGTATGTCCGGTATACGACGGAGCAAGTTGAAGCTTTAGAGAGAGTTTATGCAGAATGCCCAAAACCCAGTTCTTTGAGAAGACAACAATTAATCCGAGAATGCCCTATTTTGTCCAACATAGAACCTAAACAAATCAAAGTCTGGTTTCAAAATCGCAGGTATAAACATTGATTTCTTTCTTTCCTGATATTTCTGAAATTGGGTATCTTTCGTTTTCTCTTAAATACGATCTTACATGATTTCATCTCTACTTTAAGCTTCTTCATTTATTTGATCTAGTTACATGCATTATGAGTAAATCTAGAACTTTCTGCCATTGCCATTTCCGAATTCACTACTTAAAACAAGCTATTTTATATTTCCGAGTAGGAAATAGAATGTAGATAAAATCGATTGTGTTGCGAATCTTATTTTCCCCCTTTGAATTACGATCCGATTTTAGATGTCGAGAGAAGCAACGAAAAGAGTCTTCTCGTCTTCAAACTGTGAACAAGAAACTATCCGCCATGAACAAGTTATTAATGGAGGAAAACGATCGACTGCAAAAACAAGTGTCTCAACTTGTAAACGAGAATGGATATATGCGCCAACAATTACACACTGTATATTCTTAAATTCCCCAAATCTTTAATCATTAATCAAAAACAAGATCCGATTTTTATAAATAAAATCCTCATTCTTTGCAGTCAACTGATGTAAGCTGTGAATCTGTCGTCACCACTCCCCAGCATTCTCTAAGAGACGCCAATAACCCAGCTGGGTAATTTCTTAATTTCTTAATTCCATAATTCAATCTTTTGTATTTATTATTTAAACATTTGGATCTAATTAATTATTATTTATATTTCTTGTAGACTCCTCTCCATTGCAGAGGAAACTTTGGCAGAGTTCCTTTCAAAGGCTACAGGAACTGCTGTCGATTGGGTCCAGATGCCTGGGATGAAGGTTTTTATTAACTATTTATAGAATTAATTCACATAAATCTTGATTAAAAATGTTTAATTTTTTATAAAAATTGAATCTTTTTTTATTTTTATTACAGCCTGGTCCGGATTCGGTTGGGATCTTTGCCATTTCACAGAGTTGCAGTGGAGTGGCAGCTAGAGCCTGCGGTCTTGTAAGTTTAGAGCCCACAAAGGTAAAAAAAAAAAAGAAAAATTCTCCCTAATTTTTATATATTCAAATTTATATTTATCATTTTCAAGATTTAAATTCTTTAAAAAATTCTCAGATTGTAGAAATCCTTAAAGATCGTCCTTCTTGGTTTCGTGAATGTCGGAATCTTGAAGTTTTCACAATGTTTCCTGCTGGAAATGGAGGCACAATCGAACTTGTATATACCCAGGTAAAATATATAAAATACAAATACACATCGATTTGAATTTTTTTATAAATTTTAATGTATAAATTTGTGTTTTAGATATTTGCTCCAACCACATTGGCTCCTGCGCGCGATTTCTGGACATTAAGATACACAACGACTTTAGAAAACGGAAGTCTCGTGGTAATTTTTTTTTTATAAAACTTGTTATAAAATTTAACGTTTTTGGTTTAATTTCTCAAAAGGGTATATAAATTTGTGATCTTTTTTGGTATTTTATAAGGTGTGTGAAAGATCCCTTTCGGGTTCTGGAGCTGGCCCAAATCCAGCTTCTGCTACACAATTTGTAAGAGGAGAAATTTTACCAAGTGGATACCTAATTCGTCCTTGTGAAGGTGGTGGATCCATTATTCATATAGTTGATCATCTTAATCTTGAGGTAATTCACCAAAAAAAAAACTTTAATTTTATAATTTTGATTGATTTACAAAACTTGGTTGCTATAATTGAAATCTTTATCGTGTTTTAGGCATGGAGTGTGCCTGAAGTTCTTCGTCCTCTTTACGAATCTTCCAAAATTGTTGCTCAAAAGATGACAATTGCAGTGAGTAGAACTGTAGAATTGGAATTAACTTTATACGCTTATTGATTTTGATCATAAATTGTTTCTTTTTTGGTTAATTTGATTTCAATTTTGGATTTAGGCTTTGCGTTATATTAGACAAATAGCTCAAGAGTCGAGTGGAGAAATAGTTTATGGATTGGGAAGACAACCCGCTGTTTTGAGGACTTTAAGTCAAAGATTAAGCAGGTAGGATTCTAAACTCTCTTCAATTTTTGTGATACGAAATTTACAATTCAATTCCAATTTCCAATTACAGAGGATTCAACGACGCCATCAATGGATTCAGCGATGATGGATGGTCGTTAATGAACTGTGATGGTGTTGAAGATGTAATCATCGCTGTGAATTCATCAAAAAATCTAAACAACTCCATGAATCCCTCCAATTCCCTTTCTTTTCTTGGTGGGATTCTTTGCGCAAAAGCCTCAATGTTATTCCAAGTAAGTCCTTAACTCCTAATATCCGAAACTATCCATCTTTAAGGACCAAAATTGCAAAAATCAGATAAAACACAGGGCCATTTTTGTAATTTACTTGATTTTTGTTGTATCCAGAACGTGCCTCCAGCAGTTCTTGTTCGATTTTTAAGGGAACATCGATCCGAATGGGCCGATTTCAATGTCGACGCTTATTCTGCTGCTTCGGTTAAACCAAACCCGTATTCATACCCGGGAATGCGACCCACTAGATTCACGGGTAGCCAAATCATCATGCCCCTTGGTCACACAATCGAACACGAAGAGGTATTTTTTTCACTTGTATAAAACAAGCCCTAGAAGCTTTAGGTGAAAAGGAATTGGAATCCAGGGGTATTTTGGTCTTTATACTTTTTCCTCTTACAAACAGATGCTTGAAGTTGTAAGACTCGAAGGACACGCACTCGGACAAGAAGATTCGTTCATGTCACGTGACATTCATCTCTTACAGGTTCATTTACAAATTTCATCTTAAGAAAACATTTTATACAAAAAACGGAATTAAGATTTTGATTATATATTTTTGAAAATTGAATATAGCTATGTAGTGGGATCGATGAAAATGCAGTGGGAGCATGTTCAGAGCTGATATTTGCTCCAATTGATGAAATGTTTCCTGATGATGCGCCTCTTGTTCCTTCTGGATTTAGAATAATTCCATTGGATCCAAAATCAAATGATGTGAAGAACAACACAATGGTGAATACACATAGAACATTGGATTTAACTTCAAGTCTTGATGCAAGTAACCATGGTTCAGGTGGTGATATGTCAATGTCATGCCAAAACATGAGATCTGTGTTGACAATTGCGTTTCAATTCCCTTTTGAGAATAATTTAGCAGAAAGTGTCGCGACAATGGCGCGACAGTATGTTAGGAGTGTCATTAATTCGGTTCAGAGAGTTGCTATGGCGATTTCTCCTGCTGGGTTGAGTCCTTGTGTGGGACCCAAATCGTCTCCTGGTTCTCCTGAAGCACTCACTTTAGCTCAATGGATCTGCCATAGCTACACGTAAGCTTTTTTTTTTTTTTTTGCTTCAAAACAAATTCTTTATTCTTGGTGTTATTGATTCTTGATTCTTGGTTGTTTTGATTCTTGATTCTTGAATCTTGGTTTTTTGGTTTTTTGATGCTTGAGATTCTTTTTGGTTTTTTGATTGTTGAATCTTGATTTTTTGATTTTTGATTGATGATTCTTTTTGGTTTCTTGATTCTTATTCTTGCCTTTTTGATTCTTGATTGTTGAATCTTGTTTTCTTGATTCTTATTCTTTGGTTTTTTTTGATTCTTGAATCTTGGTTTCTTGATTTTTATTCTTGGTCTTCTTTTATTCTTCTTGATTGTTGAATCTTTATTTCTTGATTCTTATTCTTATTCTTGTTTTTTTTTAAAATTTAAAATTTTTAATTTTTGATTGTTGAATCTTGGTTTCTTGATTCTTATTTTTTCTTTTCTTTTTTTCTTTTTGTTTTTGTTTTATACTTGATTTTAGAATCTTGGTTTTCTTGTTTCTTGGTATTTTTGATTCTTGTTTATTTATTTATTTATATTCTTGATTGTTGAATCCTGGTTTCTTGATTCTTATTCTTGTTTTATTTTAATTCTTGATTGTTAAATCTTGGTTTTTTTATTCTTGATTTTAGAATCTTGGTTTTATGATTCTTGATGCTTTTTTTTTTTTTTTTTTTTTGATTCTTAGTTTTTTTCTGACTCTTGTTTTTATTTATTTATTTAAATTCTTATTATATCCAGGTACCATTTAGGAGCGGATTTGCTAAGTTGTGGTTCTGTTGTTGGGGAATCACTATTAAAAGATCTTTGGCAACATCAAGATGCTATTTTATGCTGTTCTTTAAAGGTAAAAAGAGTATTTTACAACACATAACAACACATCATCTTTCTCAAAATCTTTTTAAACCAATCATTTCTCACCCATTTCATTTTTTTTCCAGTCGATGCCAGTTTTTGTATTTGCCAATCAAGCAGGACTTGACATGTTAGAAACAACTCTTGTAGCCTTACAAGACATCACATTAGACAAAATGTTCGATGATTCTGGAAGAAAAGCTCTAGTCCCTGAATTTGCCAAAATCATGCAACAAGTATAACTACTACTACTTTATAACTTCAATTTTTTTTAAAAAGATTACAACTTTATACATTCCAACGAAAAATAAATCACGGGTTTTTGTTTTTCTTTAAAGGGTTATGCACATTTACCTGGTGGGATATGTATGTCAACAATGGGGCGACATATTTCATATGAACAAGCTATTGCATGGAAGGTTCTTGCAGCTGATGAAACAACTGTTCATTGTCTCGCTTTCTCTTTTGTGAATTGGTCATTCATTTGAAAACAACACAACTTTTAATGTCCATTTTTTTTTGTTGTTGTATTAGAGGTTTGTTTAAATCTTTTTTTGAAAAAAAAAACAGTTAGAGATCATCATCATGATATGGTGGTGTTGTAATGGTTTTTGGATGATATGAATGTGAAATGGTCCATGCATGATATGTTGGGTTTTTGAAGGTATTTTTAATGAATGTTAGGTAATGATTCTTATGGCATGTGTTGTTGCTTTAAAGTTTTTAACTGTTTATGTGGTCCTTTTGATCTGGGTTGACATGCTTTTATCTTCTTTATTGACTATTGTTGCTGTCATCACTTTCTTTATAATTCAATCAGGTTAGTGCCCAAAAAGATCGCTTTTTTACACTTGTAATGATGGGTTGTTGCAGTGCTTTAATCCATCAATTTGGGTTTTTTATGGAGTGTCATATACTCAAATAGCCCCACACACAAGAAAAGAAAATTAAAACAAGCCCCTATATTTATTTATTTTCGGATTAATTTTATTTTCTTGTCTAAAAAAGTTTTTATCTTTTTCATTTTTTTGCATTTGTAGTGGGTTTGTTGGTAATATTCTGATTTTATGCAAAGATGCAAGGGTTTTTTTAAGAAAAGAAAACCGGGTAGTCTTCTGATTTTATGTAAAAGATGTAACGTTTTTTAAAAAAAAAGCAAAGTTGAGGTTTAATTAAAAAAAATAGAAAAGTAAAAGGGACACGTCGAAAAAATAGAAAAATGTAATGGTGAGGAAATAAAAAACTATATAAGAGTCTAATTGAAAAACTGTAAACTGTAAAGGCGAGATCGATAAAAATAGATAGAAAAAAGGTTATGGTTTAATTTGAAAAAAATCTAATATGTATGTTATTTTATGTTAATTTCTAAGTGAGAGAAATGGAAGATTTAAAAATGTATTCTCAGTTAACTAAAATCTTTTTTTATTATTTATTAAAAAAATATGCTTCTAAGTTGCTCAACCGTACAAAGAATCGGGAATATATACAGAGAACTACTACCTATCTTCTAACAGAAATTAAATAACTAATTTTAACAACTTGTAACTAATCTGTACACGGCAAAGTAGTATAATGCTAACACCCCCCCCCCCCCCTCTGAAGCTGGAGGGTAAGGCTGTAACCCCAGCTTGATTATAGCTTCTTGATGTTTTGTACCAATGAGAGATTTTGTAAGAACATCAGCCAGCTGATGATTGGTTGAAACATTAGACAAAGATATAAGCCCACTTTGTAATTTTTCACGAACAAAGTGACAATCTATGAGACTATTACCAAATAGAATGAAATATCCACTAACAGATTGTCTTTTGATTGGACATGCAACCCAATCCGAGTCACATTATGCTTCAATATTATAAGAAGAGTCTTTATTGAAGTATAGTCCTTGATTGAAAGTGCCTTTGAGATATTGAAGAACATGCAAAGCAGCATCATAATGAGCTTGAGATGGAGTTTGGTTGAATTGACTCAAGTACTGAACAAAGAATGATAGATCAGGTCTAGTATGAACCAAAAAATTCAATTTACCAATGAGTTGTCGATAAACAGTGGGATCTTCAAGGGACTTTTCCATGACTGGAACCAATCGAAGTTTGTGGAAATGGAGTAGTAACAGAAGTACATTCAATCATAGAATATTCTGCAAGCAAGTATTTGATATACTTCTGTTGATGGATGATCATGCCATTGTTGACATAGTTAAACTCCAATCCAAGAAAGAAACTAATTTGTCCCAAATCTTTGATACGAAATTGATCATCAAGAAAACCCTTTAAGCTTGATATTTCATCATCATCATCTCCGGTGATTAAAATATCGTCAACATAAACAACAACAATAACTAAGGAGTTCTCCATCTTTTTGAGAAAAAGTGAATAATCATTTTGTGAATGAGTATATCCTCTAGTCCTTAATGCTGTTGAAAGTTTCGAATACCACCGTCGTGATGCTTGTTTTAAGCCATATAATGACTTTTTAAGCTTGCAAACATGATAAGGAGAAGTAGTATGAAGACGAGGTGGGACTTTCATATAAACTTCTTCATGGAGATCTCCATGAAGAAATGCATTATTGACATCGAGTTGTTGTATTTTCCAGCCTCGTTTAACAGCAAGAGCAACTAGACATTGAACAGTGTTAAACTTGAGCACTGGAGAAAAGGTTTCATGGTAATCAATACCAACTTTTTGAGTGAAACCTTTGGCCACAAGCCTAGCTTTTTGTCTTTGAATAGAACCATCAGCTCTTCGTTTAATTTTGAATACCCATTTGCATGAAATTGGCTTCTTGCCTTTTTGGTAATTTTACAATGTCCCATGTATTATTTGCTTTTAATGCCTGCAATTCCTTGTCCATAGCATCCTCCCAATGTGGATCACCTTTGGCTTGATGATAGAATGTAGGTTTGTGAGATTGACTCATTACTTGAAAAGCAAGATGATTGAATTGACTAGAATCAATAGCAATGTGATTAATACCAATGCATAAATTGGTGATTGTGTGATCATAATCGTGTAAAGAAGATTGATTACATATGTAATCTTGTAATCGAGAAGGAGGACGTGACACCCTTGTGGATCTTCTTAAATTGTTGTCAGTAGGTAAGGAGGTGTTATCAATAGAAATGGGTGGATTGAAATGAGGGGTAAAATCGGAATTATTTGGATCATCAGCAGAAACAAGAAGACAAGTCTCATTAGGATTGAACGGTTTGTGTTTAAGTGAATGTAATGGAAATATATCCTCCAAAAATTTGATATCACGACTGACTAGTATTTCATTTGTTGTCAAGTTGAGAGCTTTGTAAGCTTTTTGAGCATATAGGTAGCCAATGAAAACACAAGGATGTGCGCGAGGCATGAACTTGTCCCTCCCTGATGGTCGTGAGCTTACAAAACAAAGACAACCAAACGATTTAGGGCGAGTTAAATCTGGTACTGCATTGTGTAATACTTCAAAAGGAATCTTGTGTTGCAGATTTTTCATTGGCATTCTGTTGATTAGATGAACAACAGTTTTTACACACTCCCCCCAATATGCATGACCCAAACCTGATTGAAAAAATAATGCTCTGGCAACTTCAAGTATGTGTCGATGTTTACGCTCAACTAAACCATTTTGTTGAGGAAAATGAGGAGTTGAGTTTTGATGTATTATCCCTTTGGACAGAAAATATTGAACTCCTTCATTGCTGGAACCAAGTTCATATGCATTATCGGTTCTTATGATTTTGACAGTCTTCTTGAATTGATTTTGAATAAGAGTAGCAAAAGTTTTTATGAGAGAAAAAGCAGAACTCTTGTTAGCCAACAAATGTAACCATGTGTGTCTAGTAAAATCATCTACGATTGTAAGAAAGTAATTGAATCCATCATGAGTACAATGTTTGTATGGTCCCCATACATCAACATGAATTAAATCAAAGGATTGATGAGAACATGTAACACATGAATCAAATGTAAAATCATTACATTGAGAAGAAATGAAAGACAACTGTCTAAGCTTGTTCAATGGAACATGTCCTAATCTTCTATGCCACAACAATGTGTAAGAAGACTTATTGATTACATTGAAACTGGAAACAGATGGAAAAACTGAACAACAAAAAGAAAGAGATGTTTCGATGGTACGATGATCAAAGACATAAAGATCATTGATCCTGTTTCCAAATACACTAAGAGCTAAATCATTCTTTGATGAAGGGTCATGCATAAGACAATGTTCATCAGTAAAGATGACAAATGTATGAAGTTGTCTTGTGAATTTAGGAATCGAAAGGAGGTTGTATTTAAATGAAGGAACATAAAACACTCCATGAAGAACAATAGAATCATGTAAATGGATGTCACCAATAAAAGAAAAATGCAGCATGATGTCCATCAGGAAGCCTAATGTAATGTGGCTGAATTAATGATTGGAATGAAGAAAACAAATCATGATTAGAACAAATGTGATCTGTTGCACAAAAGTCTACTATCCAAGAAAAATTTGTATGTAATAGGGAAGATGATTTATAGACATTGGCAACAAAGTCATGATAAGAAAATGGACTACCTTCATTATGCATTGCTCCATCTGTTACTGAAGAATGAACTTGACTGGTAGAAGCTTGAGATAAAGATGTCTTGTGAAAAATTTGCATTAATTGTTCGTATTGTTCCACAGTAATTGGAGAAGAAGATGTTGATGAAGTGACATTTTGAACACTAGATTTAGAATCCTCTTTCTTGGATTTTACGAATTTGAATGATGCAGGAAATCCAATGAGACGATAACAATTGGATTTTGTATGCCTGATTTCTTACAGTGATTACAAATGAGATGTTTCTTTGAAGAAGAGGAATTAGTAGTGACATTCATTGCAATTGCATCAGTGTTGATAGTTGAGGGAATAGAAATGGTGCGTTGACGTTCTTCTTAGATTATCATAGAATACGCAGCAGAAATTATTGGAAGTGATTTCATCATGAGTATTTGTCCTCTGATAATTTTGTATGATTCATTTAGAAACATCAACATCTGTATGAGACGTTGATCTTTAAGAAACTTCCGAATCGATGCAGTAGTACCACAGGTACAAGAAGGAAGACTTTGAATAATCCTCAACTCATCCCAGATCTTGATTAATTTTGTGAAATAAGATGAAAAATCATCCGTACCTTGAGAAAGAGAATATATCTGTTGTTGGATGTTGTAAAGAAGAGCGCCATCAGATTGCTCAAATCGTTGATGTAATTCGTTCCATATCTCATAAGCAGTAGGTAGAAATAGAACACTGTCAGCTAGATTCTTGTTCAAAGAGTTCAAAATCCAGCTAATCACCATTGAATTTGCACGATGCCAACTTGGATACGTAGACGAATTGGTTGTAGGTGGTTGAATTGAACCATCAACAAATCCATACTTGTTTTTGGCTGATAATGAAAGAATCATCGATCGTTTCCAGAAGTTAAACCCAACGCCATTGAAGACATTTGAAACAAGAATGGAATTAGGGTTATCAGAGGAACCAATGTAATAAGGACTGGAAATGGGGATGATCGAAGAATCAGAAGAATCACTTTCAGGCATGATTAAATTGAATCAGAAAGAAGAAGAAAGATGAAGATTGGATCGATTGCTAATCTGATACCATGT